GTTGAGAATCATCTTTGTACAAAGTTTGGCTAAAAACAGCCTGAATATTGCATCGTTGAATATTCTGTTAATGTATATACTGTATTCTATATAGTACCAGTCAAATGTTTGGACACACGAATGGGAAAGTGTCCAAACTTTTTGACTGGTACTGTACTATAATATACACAAAGAATATCGGCCGATATATCAGTATCGGCCACAAAAAAACCCATATCGGTCAGGCTCTAATATATATACATACATAAATCGATACATTTATTCCTTAATGTATATATATAATCAAACTTTTTTCTGGTTCTCAGGAGGATATGTTTGATCGTGAGTGTCTTATGCTGAATGCGGATTAGCCTATGATGAAGATGATGAGGATGAGGATGGCGTTACCTTTCCACACAAACTCACCTGCATTCCAGGAACTTGAACAGCTACCGGCGACTGAGCCATCTCCACCCGTCCACAGACACACTACACACCCAATAACTCTCGGAGAGATCCCAGATTTTCAAATAGTTGTATCTCGGCCAAATATTGTCATATCCTAACATTAATGCATCAATGGAAAGCTTATTTATTCAGCTTTCAGATGATGTATAAATCTCAATTTCGAAAAATTGACCCTTATGACTGGTTTTGTGGTCCAGGGTCACACATGGAAGCAGATGAAGAAATCCACTTCAGATTCATGTAAATAAAGCTTTTTACACTAATGCGTTTCTTCCACCAAAAAGGCTGCAATCACAGTGGAAACGAGGAACCGTCATGTATTCCCACAGAGAAATATCTTGCAGATTCAGAACGAATGTTAACAAAGCTGGATATAGCTAAGACCGACGGATGAGTAACTGAATGCCTACACCATACATGGATTTAAAATACAGAGAAAACACACACTTGGTAAAAAAACAAAACACTTTGCTTATTTACAGATTAGATAGACAGTCTCTCGGTGAGTCCTTTGACTGAGTTGTCAGGAAAGTTCAAATGATCCACTCCAGAAGGCAACAGGTCCCATCTATGGATTTTACAGACACAAGGCTATTGTATACAAAATGGTTGGGAGCCGGTATTTGAGCTAAGCTCAAACACAAAGGTTCTTCCTTAAGAGTCTCAGAAGAAGCATCTGTGTAGTAGGATTGTATTTTTCTTTTTAAATGGTACGTCCCGAAGCAGTGCATAGTGCTATACTGTTCACGAACAGCCAAACGAGGACAGAGTTTTGAATGTTAGTCTGGCATGTCGATGCACAGTTTGGGCGGCGGCACAAAGTATTTGCCAGGACTTTGGGTGATCACCACACCCGTCTTCTTATGAAACATGGGAGGGATTTTAGGCACCTCGTGGATGGGCAATTCCTCGGACACCTCGGAGTCCTCGTGGTGCAGGTCATAGGATATGTTGCCATACTCCCTCAAGAAGGGGAAGAGTTCAAGAAGAAACTGGCAGAAGTCTTTGCGAATGCCGAACCACCCTGATACAGAGGGAAATGAGAGAAGAAGAGCTCAAGTCAATACTGAAACAAAATTAGGGGAAAATACCTTACAGAATCATCTTTTGCATGATTTTTTTTCCATTTAAAACAAACAGCTAAATACAAATATGGAACATATTTAGTTTTGCTGTAGTGAATGACAAAATGGTTTGCGCTAATCATTTGTGATGGAGAAATGTTCGGAAGAAAATGCAAGTGAGAGGGAAACAAAATTTGTGGGATGACTTACACAGCAACATTTGACACTTAAGGTTTGGGGTTTGTTTAAATCACTTACTACAAATAAAAAAAATAGTATTAGTAATGCCTGCTCCAGCAAACACCGCATGTAGTTCTTAGAAAGCTAAATGATATGATTCATTATAGACTATACTGGAAGGTTATCCAGTTTTGAGTCATTATTTTTATTTAATAATTATTTGCAGACATTTCTGAATCATTCTTGTCAAGCCAATGTAATGAATGAGTAGCAAGAAGACAGATATATTGCCGTTCAAAAGTTTGGGAAGCTTTTTAAAAAAATAAGTCTATTATGCTCATCAAGGCTGCATTTACTTGATCAAAAAAAACAGTAACATTGTGAAATATTATTGCAATTTAAAATAACAGTTTTCTATTTTAGTATACTTTTAAATATAATTTATTCCTGTGATGCAAAGCAGAATTTTCAGCATTATTACTGCAGTCTTCAGTGTCACATGATTCTTCAGAAATCACTCTAATATGCTGATTTATTATCAATGCTGGAAACTGTTGTGCTGCTTAATATATATTTGGAACCCGTAATACTTCAGGGTTTTTTGATGAATAAAAAGTTAAAAAGAACAGCATTTATTCAAAATAGAAATCTTTTCTAACAATATAAGTCTTTACTTTGATAACTTTTTATCAATTTAAGCAATCCTTGCTGAATAAAAGTATTTCTTAAAAATAAAAAATACTTTTACAGACCCCAAACTTTTAAATGGTAGTGCATATTGTTAGAAAATATTTCTATTTTAAATAAATGATGTTCTTTTTAACTTTTTATTCCTAAATGAATCCTGAAAAAAAAGTTTAACATGTTCCAAAAAATATTCAGCAGCACAACTGTTTCCAACATTGATAATAAATCAGCATATTAGAATGATATCTGAAGGATCACGTGACACTGAAGACTGCAGTAATGCCAGATTAAAATTAAGCTCTGCATCACAGAAATGAAGTATATTAAAATAGCAAACCCTTATTTTAAATTGCAATAATATTTCACAATATTACTGATCAAACAAAAGCAGCCTTGATGAGCAGAAGAGGCTTCTTTAAAAAAAAAACATAAAAAATAATTTCCCATACTTATGAACGGCAGTGCAGGTAACACACGTCACGTACAGTGATTGCCTCCTTTCTGGCCAAACGTCGTCACCATTAGAGTCACCAAAGAAACCCAGAGAGGAACAAACACCGGGACGTAGTTGGAGTTGTAATGACCATCCAGCTTGTGAACGAGAAGAATCTGAAAACAACACAATGATGATGAAAGTCAACCCTGCATCTATAAATGCTGAGCTCACAAAACAGATGCATAAACGAACGACCGCGTTCTTCAAAGAATAGTTCACCCAAAACATGAAAAATTATAATAATGATTCGGACCAATTATTATATTGATCATATTAATCAATCATAAACAAAACACTACTATTGAGTAAACTATTGGGGGAACTATTCCTTTAATATCCGGTAAACTGATACATTGCATACGAGTATATTCAACTAAAATATTTTGATGAAGAGAACTGGAACAGCAATGTGGCTGACAGATCTGGAACTACTTCATAGCTGTGAGTTTACTCAAAAATAATTAAGCATTAAACAGGTGGTTGAATTGGCTGCCTTGGGAACCAAGAAGTAGGTTTCCCATTCATTTTTTTTTTTTCTCAGAAAAAGGCAAATTGTAATTTCTCAGAATAAAGTTTTCTAAAACACAACACAAATTCTGAAAGTTTCAAAACATGTCCTGAAAAAAATATGACAGATTGCTGTCAAAACTCTGCAACGCTCCAGATAACAGCTGGAATTACTGCCAGCAAAACTAAAACAATGAGTTTTTTGTTGATAAATTACAGGATAGCATAATAAAGATACAGTTCCCTATTCATTTCAAACTTGACATATTTATTTGTGATCTCAGCAGCTGCTCTGGGTGGCGTTTCCCCAAAAGCATCATAAACCTATGGAGATCGTAGAGACCATTAGTGTGTCAAGGCATGCATTCTAATGAGATGCTACCTGATGAATATCTCGAGAAGCGACAATCTTGGTAGTCTAAGTCTTGTCAACTGCCCACAGGTTATTTTTGTACTTCACAGGGCAGCCAAACTGGTGTCTTTAGCGTAGACACAGCATTCTCAATCTCTGTGTCGGGCGTGTTATAGCCATATTCAAATAATGGAAATACATTTAGTGAAGTGGAGCTGCTGCTCCTGCTGCACACAAGACGGAGATTGTTATATGGTATAAAAATGCCATTTTAGACATTAACAGGTCATTTAAATTTACACATAAAACATTACTGCAAATTTTGAATCTGAAATCTAAAATTAATTTGAAATCTAATTTTGCCTAAAGACGGTTTGTCATTTTTTCTGCTTTGTGATATTTCAAAGTTTGAAATACTGTCCCTGCGGCAGACACTTTGCTCATGGTCAGTTAGTCATAAGTTACTAGCATCAAAACTAAGTAAAACATTTTTCATAATAGTTCTGATCAGATGGACTGTGATTATGGCGATATATTTCAGTTTTCTTTAGAATGTATGAGTGAACCAGTGGGCTCCATACAGTCGTAAAGAATTTTTTTTAAAAGAAATTAATACATTCATTAAGCATGCATTAAATTGATCAAAAGTGACAGTAAAGCCATTTAGAATGTAACAAAAGATTTGGAATAAATGCTGTTCTTTTAAATTTTCTATTCATCAAAGAATCCTTATCAATGCGTCACGAAAATAAGCAGCACAACTGCTTTAATTTTCAATCACAATCAATTTTCAACATTGATAATAATCAGAAATGTTTCTTGAGCAGCAAATCAGCACATGTGACCCTGGACCACAAAACCAGTCATAAAGGTCAATTTTTATCAGATTTATACATCTTGGCTATTGCTACAAATATCCCCCAGCGACTTAACACTGCTTTTGTGCTGCAGGCTCACATATTAGAATGATTTCTGAAGATCATGTGACACTGAAGACTGAAGTAATGATGCTGAAAATTCTGCTTTGCATCACAGGAATAAAGTACAACTTAAAATATATACAAACAGAAAATGTATTATTTTAATTAATTACTATTTAATTAAATAAATGCCACCTTGGTGAGCAGAAGAGATTTCTTTCAAAATTGAAAAAAATCCTACCGACCCCAACGTTTTGAATTAAATGTATATAATGATTTAGTTACTAATGTGCAAAAAAGCATGAATAAAACGATTATTAAAAACTGGTTCTGTATATTGAGTAAAGGACACAAACATGAAGGTAATCTGTATTTAGACTGGTTTGAAACAATCAGTATCGGCTGATCTCTACTCAAGACATGCTCAGTGTCCTTAGCTTACTTAATGCATAAACACAATCAAGTAAAAACTGAACGATGTTGGAATCAAACCTCAAAGGTAAGCAAGGGCACCACTATGGTCATCCAGCTGATTGCCATGGTGATGTGTGTGCGCCGCTGCTCGGCAATGACATCCATGGACCGCAGGAAGAGCACAGACCAGACAATGTAATAGAGCACCACCAGACACAAGAAGGACATGAGAATCCACAGCGGCACGCACACCACCTGGAAAAGACATGGCACTTACTCTCATAACGAGCCACAGAGCTCAGATTACAAAGCTAATAATAGCCTAACTGCAGGTGACTGATGATTTGGCAAAGGTAAGTTAGTGTAGTTGGCGTCCTTACCAACCACGGCCAGCTGATGATCTTATCCAGTCTCAAAGCGATGAAGATGAACTGAAGAATATTAACAGAGCACAGAATCTCCAGCTGATGAAACAACACAAAGTAAGAGCGTTCATTCAGGTATGATTCATTTCTGTAAACACAAAGATCGACATGCTTAGGGAGATATGCTTGGTATCATGTGGGTGAATGTCACTGTAGGTCATATAAAAAAAAACGAAGAAAGAAATAAGAAAACATTGTTTATAAAGGAAATGGAGCCTGTTTTAGGAGCAAGATTTGTAAAACAAAATATAATCAAATTTAGCAGGATCACTTATTCTTTTATATATATATTTGACTAAGTATAGGTCAGAATAAGCATTTAATTTTTACACAAATATATCTGTCACGCTGAATGATGACAGAACATTATTTCACCCATATTTTGACATTTTATTTTCACAAACCTTATTTGAAACATTAAAGTAGATGCTTTACTCGTGTTTAATATGCTTTCTATGTCTATACAATAACTGTAAATTTAATTGGATGCAGACGCCAAAATGCGGCATCTCGTCTTGTAATCCCATAATCCAGTTAAAACTGTACAGTATTTAGTAATAGTAACAGATTAAAAATATATGTGTAATACTATAGCAATGAAAACAACCGCGACAAATGGGAATAACTAAATTGTCATGAAACTAATGTCAATGCAAAAAAAAATAAAAATAAAAGTTTATGCATAAGATATAATTTCTTATTTTTATTTTGGCATGAAATATAACCTCAACATAATTTGGTTGACGTTAACCGCACTCAGAATGGTTGTGTGTTCCTCTGTGCTTGTAAATCCCGGCTGATACCTCAAGCGATCTGTCGTGCCTGAATCCCCACACGCACGCCGCCACTGAGACGGGTGAGACGAAGAAGAGCGGCATGAAGACCAGAAGCCAGAAGTGTGAACCCCGCTGCACACGGTCACACACCAGCACCTCGAAAGTGAGCAGGAGGAGGTGGATCCCCACAGCGATCAGCATGGCCTTAAACTCCACACAGGTCTCACCCTCAGCCCTAAAGACAACAACTTACTGCATGAAGCACATGGCCAAAATCACACTTCCTTAAAGGGACAGCTCACCTCAATTTAAATTCTGTTTTTTATTTTCTCACCTCATGTTGTTCCAAACCTGTATGAGTTTCTTTCTTCTGCTGAACACAAAAGAAGCTATTTTGAATAATACTGGTAACCAAACAGCTGCTGGTCCTCATTGATTTCCATAGTATGGAAAAAAATTAAAAATACTATGGAAGTCAACGGCCACCATCAACTGTTTGGAATCTCATACAGGTTTGGAATGAGAGAGTTGAGTAAATGATGACAGAGTTCTCTTTTTTGGGTGAACTATCCCTTTAAGTCATAAATGCAACATGATATGTCATTCTCGCGAAGTTTACTAGTGTGCTGCCAAGACTTTACCTAAATCTATGGCTGGATAACATTAACCAAATCATTACACATTTTGATTCCGTGTACACATAAATTATGCTAAATGAGACCAAGAATGCATATCAGGGTCCTTTACCGTATAAAGCCTGACATATGAAATAATAGCAATTTTTTTAAATCGAAACTTTAGACAAAATAAAATCTTGCATATGAATTTTGCGTTTTGTGTCATATTTGATACATCAGGCTTTTGGGTCCTACAGTATGATATACTCAGACTGAGAATATTTAAGAAAAAACATTTATTCAGAGTAGGCCTGGGCGATAAAACGGTATCGATATTTATAGATGGTACACCTTCTTCGATAACGACATAAAAAATGTTCTAGGCAGGTGCTATGAGTGACGCAGACAGCACACACAAACACAAACAAGAGTGCTGTGCTTGCTTGTGATGAGGAGATTGAGAGTAAAGAATTAATATTAGTCGAATTTAAAATAAACATCTGCATTTGAATGCAAAAATAGTACAATCCAATGTTAGGTGTGCATCAGGGAGCGTCATCAGTGGAGCACGAGATGTGGTGATGATGATGTAAGTGACGTTGTTGCATTTTAATGTTTTGTTAGTCTAGCCCACGAGACGCGCCACTGCTGCGTTATTCATTCAAAATATTAGAGAAATATAGAAGCTCAATGCGGAGAAGATCTTGAATTTTTCGGGTTAAAACTGAAACCAAGCCATTCACACAGAACGCATATTCAGCGCATTTTTTTAGACGAACAATATGACTGCTGCACTCGCGTCTCACAGAAGAGATGTATAGAAAGCCATGCAAAGGTAAAACAGCTTAAACTTTTAGAAAACACGTCATGAATTTGTGGAGGTTTATTCCTTTTCACTGCGTCTCATATGTTTTTAAATGCAGTCTGTGTGACTGACACTTCGGCTCTTTGTATTAAGCAATGCATAAATACATGATGCTGTTTTGTTCATAATTGTTTATGCAATTATATAATGTATATGTTAATTTAGACGTAATGCATGTTTTTTTATAGACCGTTACTTCCTTGCGTTGACAGTTTAATGTGCTGTATTATTTTGCTCTGGCCTCGGGAGACAAGACAAAAGTTTAACCCATTTAATCTGCATTTAAAACATTAGAAATTAGATATTTGTTTAATTTTAATTTAGTTTTTTTACTGTTAAAACAAAAAAAATATTTGTTGTTTGTCTCAATAAATTGAGTTAATTTAAAAATACAGTGGTTAAATGTAAAAAAAAAAATTCTATTGCTCTGTTTTAAAAAAGGTTATACAAAATGCCAATAATTATCGATACCGAACGATATGAAACATGATATCGTTAATACATTTTTTAGCTTTATCGCCCAGCCCCCAGTCCCCACAATGTCAAAAAATTCAGGTTTTACTGTCCTTGTGAGGATATTTGACTATCATTGTCTGTCCAAAGAAAAATGACCGCAAGATACACTGTGAGTGAGATGTTACGGCAATATTTGGATGATGTGAGGACAATGTTTTATATTTTTCTATGTAAAAAAATGTATTACATAAAAAACAAACAAAAAAAGTGTTTTGTCCTTAAATATTGAGCTGGTAAAGTGTAAGCAAATAAACATAAATTTTACTGCCAATTTGAGAAATGTATTGATACATTTAAATATTTGGGGTCAATTTGCACACTACGGGAGGGTTAATACGTGCTGTACAAGTACTAATAATCAGCCAATATTCTAGAAACATGCACGCTAATAAGCAACTAGGTAATTCTGCTCCCCAGTCTAAACTGTTACCAAAGGTGTTTTACTTGCTTAAACAGCAGCTTTCAAGCAGATGACAGAAGGTATTTCAGACAGGTTTTTTCAGCAATTTTGATCATTTAAAGCGGTCATATGATGCTGTTAAAAATAACATTATTTGGTGTATTTGGTGTAATGAAAGGTGTTTATGCAGTTTAAGGTTAAAAAAACACATTATTTTCCACATACTGTACATTATTGTTTCTCCTCTATGCTCCGCCTTTCTGCGATTTTTACAAAGCTCATCGGTCTGAAAAGCGAGGTGTGTTCTGATTGGCCAGCTATCCAGTGCGCTGTGATTGGCCGGATACCTCAAGCGTGTGACGGAAATGTTACGCCCCTTACCATACTGTGATGCCGTGTCCGGCCGGAGCGACGAGACAAAAACATTAAAACCCATTATAAACGAAGCATTTGTTGCATCCAGTGGGGACATAATTACTGATTATAATGACTTATACTGTCTTTTTACGCGTTGCGTTGCATCGTGCCGCGTAAACATAAAACCATGTCTGCATTTGTGATCGGAGAAATGACAAACAACAAGTGCTACTCTACACTGCTCAAAACTCACGTTTGAATCATCAGTGGCAAATCCTTTAAATATGAAAACGTACTTACGTGAGTCGGAACAGCCGGCATTGTAGTCTAACATTACTCTCACAGAATCAGTAAACAGTCCTCCATAAAATGTGCTGCACACATCTGAATATTTGGGTTGAACTGTTCTAGAACAGTGTTGTAAATACAACTTAACCACTGATTTCTAGTTGTGTCCTCTTTTGGAAGACCAAACAACGTAGTTTCGCTTTCACAACGAAGCACACAGCGTCTTCACGACACGGCGGCGGCAGCAACAATACTACAGCGAGAATAAAAGTTACGCCTTCTTTCTTTGCGTGAACATTTGGGCGGTTATGCAAATCTTCCCACATAGTGATGTAGACATGTGGGGGCGTGTTAGAACGAGCTGTTTTAGGTAGGCGTGACAAACTCTTAACTTTTATAAAGAATATCTCTTTGGATTTGAGACTTTAGTCTTTGCAACTTTACAGATCTTCTTTATGCACCAAGAGCTTGTAACACTCCAAAGAGAAAGGAAAATTGAAATCGCATCATATGACCCCTTTACAGTAATAATAAGCGGCGTCATTAGAGATCATAAGCAGGGAAGAGTTGTGTCTGACCTGTATTGCGGGTTGTGCGCCCAGACCCCGGTGCCCACGGAAGCCCCAATAATGACCATGAGCTTCCAGAGCCAGATGGGCGCAAACACAGCCCAGTAGCTCCACTGGATGATGCCGTCCAGCCTCAGCGACAGCAGCACGGAGAAGAGCAGCAGGCAGGCGTAGATCAGGAACTTACTGCAGGACGACAACAACACCACACATGCGGTCAGAGCACAAGCTGGACACATCTGTCAAGAGCACGAGGCGGACCTGACTGAGACACAAAACAAATCCAAAAAGGCCTGCGCGGTGCACATTAGCAGCTAAGCTAACAAAGTGAATGGTAGCGTATTTAAAAACAAAGCGCTGGGTTTCATCATTCACGCAACACACACAGTTCTTACCTAGGGTTGAAATCTTGAAAAACGCCTCGGAGATTCATGGTTTCCTCTTCAGACCATAGTTAGATGAGTGAAAAGGGAAGGCTGGCTAACCGACTGGCACTCGCTTCAGAGTTACGCGGTGACGTCACACGCTGTTTACGTCAGCGCGGGTCACGAAAACAAACGTTTATTAATTTCTAGGCCACTATAGAGAAATGAATTTCTGCAATCTAATAAAAAAAATATTTTTTATGCAATCAATGCATTATAAGGTTGCGTAACGAAGAGTCATACAGGCTTGCTGAAGAAAATGTTTAAAAATGCAATTATTTTTAATTTCATCAGAAGGAGAAAACGTCTATCAGAAAACACACAGTTTAGTTCAGGGCAGTAGAACCTATCCTGACCAAATACTTCACATTTCACATTCAAACTCTATGACATCTGTATACTCTGTTATGATATCTTTACAATGAAGCAATGCAGCTCATTATAGCTAGAAAAGAACAACATGCAAGCAGAAGATTAACATTTAGGAAGAATTTATTTATATATATATATATATTAATGCCCAGTATATATTGACACAATGCTATTTACACTATTAGATAAATCTTCTAAAAAAGAGGAAAATAAAGAAAAGTTTATGACTATTGCTCACTTTATGCTTGGAGTTGTTTTCCTTCCAGTGTCACATCTAGCAATGAGAGTGAGAGGGTGGACTTTAAGGGACATAAACTAATTTAAAGGGGTCATATGATGCGATTTCAAGTTCTTCTTTCTCTTTGGAGTGTTAGAAGCTGATTGTGCATAGATAAGATCCCTGAAGTTGCAAAGACTAAAGTCTCAAAACCAAAGAGATATTCTTTATCAAAGTTAAGACTCTGCCACGCCCCCCTAAAACGGCTCGTTCTAACACGCCCCCACATATCTACCTCACTATGTGGAAATATTAGCATAATGCGCCCAAATGTGCACGCAAAGAAAGAAGGCGTGGTTTCAGTAACCGCAGTTAGTGTTGAAGCAGCATGTCAGAGAGACGCTGTGTGTTTCTAGACGAAAGCAAAAGCACTTTATTTGGCCTTCCGAAAGTAGATGCACAAAAACTAATGACATTATTTACGGTCTTTACATTTATTTTGAAAGCTGAAGCTCGTGATTATGGTAAGGGGCGTTACATTTCCGACGAGTGCTTGCAGTGTTCGGCCAATCACAATGCACTGGGTCAGCTGGCCAATCAGAGCAGACTGCGCTTGTTGGAAGGAGGGGCTTTGTTGTGTTTGAGAGAGGCGGGGCATAGAGGACCTACAATAATGTACAGTATTTGAAAAATAGTGTGTTTTTTGAACATTAAAGCGTGTCAACATATTCTGTTACACCAAATACACAAAATAATGATCTTTAAAAGAATAAAAAGCATCATATGACCCCTTTAATGGTTTTACATAACTTGTAATTCACGTCAAAGAGAACAAGTAAATGTACATACTAACAGTCATAATTGCTCATTTGAAAATGTACAAACCCGATTTCAAAAAAGCCAACTTTTTTGGAATTGGGTTTGTATATGTAACCTTTGTTTCAAAGAGAAGTTGAGAAAACAGGATTAGGGACATGGGAAATTGTCTGTTAAGTGATTTATTATTATTATTTTTAGGTATTAATCATGATTTTCTGTTAAAGGGGTACATCTATGTGGCATTAAAGTTGATTAACATTGTATGTAAAATCTGAAGTATTGTTTCATTGGGACATAAAATCCACCAAACTGTAGGAATGAGCCTGAACCACTTCACATACACCATTGTTAAAGTGCAAGGGTTAAACTTCATATAAAACACCTTTTTGCAATCACAAAAACTTTAATGTGTAAATCCAATAATTTAAATAAAATAAAAAAAGTGGGCTGGTACACAAACGATAACACGAGTGAGTGCAGAATAGGCAATAAAAAGATCCTTCCAAACACACAAACAAGATGCACATGAAAGGTCTATTTACATTCATATACACAAAAAGATTTAAAAATTCAGTCACAGAATGTATGATTACAATTTAAAGTGTGGTTACACACAATCAGTAACTGTAAGAACAATGCTAATGCGTTTTTAATGAGCTTTCACATTTTTATATTAGTGTACAAGCTCCAGCTGATTCGATGCGAAAGGTAAGACTCCGCTGACGTAATACGCAATGCCGAGTGAGAGCAGAGCAATGACGAGGAGCAGCAAGAGCACTCGCCAGAAACCAAGATCTTCCACAAACTCCTGCCATGTAGTGCGGAAGCTGGACAGCACGCCATCGCTGTGATGCAGGTGTGGGTTGAGAAGAGAGTGGCTCTCCATGGCACTGCAGGAGATACAGCAGCCGGTAATGAGTAAAAACACTTATGAAGACCAATTCAAAGACACCTCTGCAAGGAAAAAAACATTGGGATTGTATAAAGTAGGTAATGGCAATCATCTCACCTTTCATTCTCAGCCATGTGCATCTTCTCCAGACTGGAATGGGAGCTGCGGTTGAAGCCCTTCACCTCCTGTTCCTCCAGCCCCTCCAGCAGATGGAGCGCGTCTTTATTCACACCGCGTCTCTTGGCCAGCACCAGCGGAGTGGCTCCGTTGTGATTACTGTTCAGATCAAAAAGCACGGACATGAAGCGGTCAGATGTTTTGTGGTGACTAAAGGTTAATTCATGAATCTTCATCGCTGTGCATTGGAACTGGCCCTGTAATACGAGTACTGTTAGTCAGGGGTTTTCAAACTGGGGTCCGGGGCCTTCAGGGGTGAAGAAAGTGGGAAGAAATAAATACAAAAACAATAAATAAATGTTCATCATTTTCAGAATGTGATATTATGCTTAAAGACTGGCCAGAAATCCTGAGATGAGTACTTTCCAATTAATATCGTACACATTATTATTTTATATATTTATTATTTTTCACATTTACACCACTATTGAATTGTTTTATGTTTTTTAAATGTTAAAAAAAACGTATGGTCACCAAGACCGCATTCGAACAAAAATACAAACAAGTAAATATTGTGAAATATTATTACATTTCAAAATAACTTTCTATGTGAATATGTTGTAAAGTGTCATTTATTCCTGTGATCAAAGCTGTATTTTCAGCATCCAGTCTTCAGTGTCAACATGATCTTCAGAAATCATTTTAATATGCGGATTTGCTGCTCAAGAAACATTTCAGATTATTATCAATGTTGAAAACAGCATTTATATGAATTCTTTTCTAACATCGTAAATGTCTGTACAGTCCCTTTTGACCAATTTGCTGAAAATAAATATTAATTTAATTTCTTAAAAAATATATTTTCTATCTACCTTTATATTTTATGTGATCATTGTATTTTGGGGTCTGTGCCATTGAAAAATTTTAAAACCGTTGCAGAATTCCTATACTTACATCTGTTATTTCATAGTTATGATTTTTCTGAAATAAAATATATGTAAGTGTCATGAAATTTTTGACTTGTCCATGGAATAGCACGTGAAAGCCGTGGTATATGAGTATGGTAATTCAGTATCATTATATATAGTCACTGTACCATTGTACCCGTCCCAAGATCATAAAGACACTGACCAGATGTCAATCTTGAGGCCGTTGGACACCAGGAACTGGATGGTGTCTACATGGCCACACATGTGCAGTGCCGTGTTGCCCTGCGAGTCAGTGGCCAACAGATCAGCACCAAACTTATGCAGCAAAGAGCAGATCTCCACGTTTCCCCGAGCGGCAGCCAGATGCAATCCGGTCCGTCCGTCCGCGGCAGTCCCTGGTGTTTGGGTCGAACCCGGACTCCAGGAGCTGTTTAGTGTGAGCGAGATCCCCGTCGATACAGGCCTGCAGCAGTGGCACGGTGGTCTGCAGGGAGTCGTTGATGAAGACGTAGGACATTTTGCACCTGATATCTGAGATCTGGAGATAAAAATCACATTTGGAACAGCTGACATGACACATCACAATGCTATAATTAAAAAACTCCTTCTCTAATTTCTTCATAATCATTATGCAGCCCCCATATTAATAGAACATCAGTATTTTTAGGCCTGCAGCAGTGGCACGGTGGTCTGCAGGGAGTCGTTGATGAAGACGTAGGACATTTTGCACCTGATATCTGAGATCTGGAGATAAAAATCACATTTGGAACAGCTGACATGACACATCACAATGCTATAATTAAAAAACTCCTTCTCTAATTTCTTCATAATCATTATGCAGCCCCCATATTAATAGAACATCAGTATTTTTACAAATTCATTTCTCACACCACACAGCCATTAATTAACTGTAAATAACTGCTTAAAAAGGCTAAAAACACAGTTACAGCATCTAAAGTACACCTCAAATCTCTGTGTTAACATGCATTTATAATGAATGATGTATGCATAGGTTAAAGCTTCAAAAACTGTAAACGTTTATTACAGAAAGGTTATTAAATTAGGCTGGAAATATCATTTAGATTACATGACAACTAAACTTCACGAATGATTACTACTGTAGCTAGCGGACTAGCTTGGTCAAGCAAGTATGTTAATCAACAAAACACACGACTGTAACCAATAACACCAGCTAATAACTTCCTTTGTAATACTACAGAAGGTAAATCAATACCTCGGAGTGATATCTTGAAAGTATCTTATAAAATCCGCTGCTTTCTCAGCCTCTATTGTGGGGAAATAGAAATTAAATGACGTACAAATATGGATGGAGGGTTAATAGACTACAAGCCCCAGTGCATGTTGTTGTGATAAACAAATAAAAAAGATTAGACTTCCGCGTTTCAACCTCAAAATCTGGTCAGTGTAGTTTTTCTGGCGCTGTTGACTATTAGAACGACTCAGACACGGACTGCGTTACCCACAATGCACCGCGATGTTTTTGTATCCGATGACGGCCGAGGATGGAGTCAGGTAGGGAATTTATGGTTTAAAATACGAAATTGATCAGCGATTTATCTATTCGTTCGGCTAACAACGTTCAGGCGATGTTTTAAGTTAGAAAAGCGTCGATAAAAGTCTACTGAGATCTGCTAGGGATTCATACCGAGGAAGTTTCAAGTTTTCTCATTGTTCTTCAGTGGCCTGTACATCTCTCACTTGTAAATAAAGACAA